TAGAGCTCTGCTTTAGAGTATCCGAAGGATTCTGCAACTGCCGGCGCATATTTATTGTCCGATTAACCTCTGGAGGCAGCACTATATAGCTCCTGAACTGCTCGATAAATCTCGGTGGGATTCATGGCGGACTAGTCTCCGAAATCGTCCGGGGTCTGTTGAGACGTTAGTAATGATTTTATTTGGCCAAACACTGGATCGCTACAAGCTTAGAGCAAGCTTCTTGCATTCATCATCCTGATAGTCTACGATTGAGATTCTAGGCGAGCTTTGGTGAGTGACATCCACAGTGACATATTGCCAAGACCTTTAGCGCCGTAAATCTTGCCGATGACATATCAACTGTGACGTCGGTGGCTACGCTTTCCTCGAAAGCGTCTAGGATATGCACCTGTGACATGTAGTGCTCATCAATGCTGGGTTCCCGAACTTTGCATCTTGTACTTGACTACAATCAGCAGCCATGGACGACCAAGCCGCTCCGCGCATTGGTAACCTGACCAAGACTCCAACGCATACTTTGATCCGCGTGCGAAACAACCAGCGTCGACATCGGCAAAGGCGACGGGAGTACATTGCATCCCTTGAACGGCAATTAAAAGCCGTGGAGGAGACAGCTAGACAGCTTAATATCGAAAACGAGGCTCTGCGAAAACAGCTTTCATCTCAAAGCCCCCCAGCATGGGAGACAAGTCTGTCCACAACTATGGCCATCTCTGATACGAACACAGCCACATACCATAAATCTACTGACGCTGGTCAATACCGAGAACCATGGTATAAGCCCTCACACTCCGAAGTGACAGCCTCCGGGTGTGCTGCACGGGTCACCATCGCGGAAATGCAACCAGGCTCGACACGACCACAAGTCCAGACTGAACTGAACGACGGCACCAGGAACAATGAGAAGTCAACTCCTCTACTATCTCCAATTGTGCCGCCGACATATGCAATTCCACCTTTAGCAATGCCAAGCACTTTTGCCTGCTGCTCAAACACATCGTCAGAACCGGGCCTTTTTGGCAAGGGTACAGACCGGCCTGGCAATCAAATCTCGCGTCTCTTGACCAGTTTCGACATCGCCACATCGTCCACGACGCCGTGCTCTCAAGCTTATCTCATCATCCAGTACCAGAATCGTCGCGGACTTTCCTTGGAGGTGATAGAGAGCTGGCTTTGGCCGGGTTTCATATACGGTGAAGAGACCGCCGTAAGTGGATGTCGCGTCGACAACCGGCTACTCTTGGCACTCTTAGTGTATGTCGCCGATTATGCAGATGCCGAGACTGGTGAGGGCGCCGATCTTTCCTAAGGGGCGTTTATCCAAACACGATAGACACCTGGTGTAGTCGATCGTATGTCAGGCTTTAATGCACCAGACAGCACCTGTATCAATGCCTGTAGACTCTCGTACTTTGCAATTTGCGGCATAACGGAAGGCGACCTCACCCCGCTCTCCAAAATTGGCAACTGTGTTGTGGGGCATCGAGCTCCCGACCAGCCTCTGGTGACATATCGTACCAACTTGGCTCTAACATATAATCTCATCACATAAAGCCTCATGGTAGTCTGCTGAGGCTACCTGTACGCAGATACTAAGTCTTCCCACATGGATGAAGAGAACCCTACTCGGTCACCTGGCCCTGGGCGCAACAGCCAGTCTACTCCTTCAACCGGTGATTGCCCCGAGGGAGGCTACGGCTGGGTATGCGTCGCCTGCGTATTCGCAATCAACAGCTTCACATGGGGTGTCGTAGCGGTAAGAGTTGGACACTTTTCACAATGTGCAAGCTGTTTGCTGATTTGGGGCCAGGCGTACGGAGTCTTCCTCTCCTACTACCTCTCACAAAACTATTTCCTCGAAGCCCAAGCACGAGACTATGCGTTCATTGGCGGACTGAATTTTGGCGTCGCAATGATTGCCGCTCCATTGGTGACTGTGGTGGCCAAATCCATGGGAACCAAACCACCCATGTATGCTGGGGCGCTGTTCTTGTTGGCAGGATTCGTCTCCGCATCTTTTTCGACCCGGATCTGGCATGTGTATCTCTCCCAGGGCGTTCTGGTCGGACTGGGAGTCGGTTTTGTCTACGTACCTAGCATTCCGATTATATCCCAATGGTTCGACAAAAGGAGGAGCCTCGCAAACGGAGTCAGCACTGCTGGATCTGGCATCGGTGGCCTCTTATTTTCTCTTGCTACTGGTGCCATGATCGAGAGCCTCGGTCTTCCGTGGGCACTCAGGGTCATTGGCTGTATCAGCTGCTGTACCAATCTGCTGGCTACGTTCTACATTAAAGACCGAAACGCCTTCATACGACCAAAGCAGCGACCCTTTGACCGCAATCTTGTGCGTCAACGGAGCGTCCTATGGCTCCTAGCGTGGGCGTTTGTGAGTATGTTGGGTTATATCACATTACTCTATTCTCTGTCCGACTTCTCGCTCTCCATTAATCTGGACCGAACTCAAGCCACGAATATCACGGCGTTGCTTAACCTGGGGACTGCCATTGGCAGACCCTGCATCGGTATCCTCAGCGACCGTCTGGGAAGATTCGAAGTGGCGAGTGGTCTCACCTTTCTCTGCGGCCTGTTCTGTCTTGCGCTCTGGGTCCCAGCGACATCCTATGCACTCATCATAATGTTTGCTCTTGTTAGTGGAGCAATCCTCGGTGTTTTCTGGGTAGTCAGTAACCAATATTGTTTGTGATCAAAGCCTTTACTAACAGCTGAGATCAGAGTATTGGGCCTCTGTGCGTCGAGGTCGCGGGTCTTGAGCAACTTCCCTCACTTTTGGCACTGTCTTGGTTATCCATCGTCCTGCCCACCACATGCAAGTCTATGATACCAAAGCCGAATAAGAACGTAACTAACAACGCTAGTCTCGGAGGTGATTGCGTTGAACCTGAGAAGGCCGGGCCACAAGCGTGAATATCTGTATACACAGGTATTCTGTGGGGTTTGTTACCTACTTGCCAGTGGGTGCTTGCTGGAGGTTAGGCGAACGGTGAATTCTTGCCGAACAGCTTCAGCACGATCTTAACAGCCCCAGGTAAGACATGTCCTAACGTCTGGACTGCACAAAACAGCTATACGATGCTCGGGATATATGAACGTTTTTGTTAGCGGCTATACAGTAGATATAGGATGTAGCTTACTTGGCTTGCGGCGGATGGAGATACGACATTCCAGTAAGGTTATTGGCCTCATGTTGGAGAAGATGATAAGGTATTGGGGCTTGAAGTCAATGGTTGGTGTTTTCGTTCAGGTTAGCGATGTTGCTATTGAAGTGGCTTTGCGATAGTCAGCCCAGGTGCACCAGTTGCCCAGCAACGCTCACACTGTCATATTATTAACCTGGCCTGTAAAGCTTTCCTATTTGGTTGTGATATTAGCGCTTTTGAACAGACAGTTCAAGTCGAAGCGAGCGAACCTTTTGGATTTCCAGCGGTGACAGCTGCGCAGGTGTAGTGGCGGGGCGAGGGCCTATTAGCAAGCTTCGTAACCTTGTTATCTTATTAGTTCTTTAACGCTACGGCGTGAGGCAGCTCGTTGTGGGTACTTAGGCGTTGTTCGTCCTTCATCCAATTGGGAGTAAATCATGAATCCATTAAGGACTCGACTGTAGCGCCACCGGACATCACCAGTGCAACACTGGATACGATTCTACAGTATCTCTTCAATGTTGTGTACCACAAAGACGGGTGATCTTGCCACGACCACATGAAGGTGTGGGTTGTCTGCTCTTAGCGAACTGGGGGTCAAGATTGATATGTTCAAATGACAAACGAAGATAAGAAACGAGAGTCTTGGCCGTCAAATTCGACTCGTCAGACAATCGCGGGGCGCAAAGGACTGTGTTTGATGTGGTGCCATTTCCGGTCCCTTGCTATATTTAGTGACGATCTGCTTCGGGGTCGGAACAATTCTTGGTCAAAAGACCGGCCTTGGCACGTAGGGACCAACTTTCACATAGGGATGCACGTTAGGCAGACATCAAGACCTTGCAGTCGGTGACCTGCCAAGTTCCAGATTGCTCCCTTCAATGATTTCGTCACGATTCTCTTTATCCATATACAAATAGGCCATCTAGTGTTTTTCTTGCGTTGCATGACCAAAGTTAGCTAGTACGATTTAGATATTTGGGGGACGATTCTTGACCAGACGTCTTGGCATTATGCCCGAGCTCTTCCAAAGGCATAAAAGGTAGAACATGCTGGCTCACGGTAATGGTGCCTTGACGCTCACTAAGGACGTGCCTCATACATCTATTAGGATAACCTCGAATGTGGAAACGTCTTGTCACACTTACCAGTGACAAAAACCGATCGCGTCGGCCACCAATTGGGGATCCTGTCACTACCGGCCCCGCTCCTTGCATTCCACACTCTTGACCATCCTGGGCAGCAGAGGTCATACACCATGGACTTCCCCGAAGCAAAGTTCCTCATGCAAAGGAATGATGAGACTGCGGGCTCCGATGCAGCTAGAACGGCATGTGGAAACGACACTATTGACGACAGCAACATGAGCCTACGCATTGCATCCATCTTCATTCTACTTGTATTCTCTCTGCTCGGCGCGTTTTTCCCAATCCTCCTTGTTCGACGCCAAAGATCTCACCCTAAGCTCAGGGTTGTCTTGGGTATTACAGGATCTTCCTTATATCGCAGGGCCTGAACGAATAGACACCTTTCCTGTCCTTTTGCGAGATTTGATGGGTTGGGATTTGATCTCGGAGCAAACTGGGAAGTAGATGATGCGTGCAATACTGTACACGTAGTATGTGTCTTCTAAATGAGTGACTTGGGTTGGGTCCTTCGCTATTTTCGACCTGCTTTGAGAGAATAATGAATAATTGTGAGCCCCCTGTGTGGCCTCGCCGAAAGATCAGGCTGCATTTTCTACGTCGCGGCCGGCAGCGATTCGCTACTTCCCTTGCGACCTTGTCGCGAGCCAATACTGCCGATAGCCGAGAAGGGAACACAAACTCGGTCAGCTTAAGCCTTGAGTTTGAGCAACAGCATCGACATAGCTGCAAAGACAACAGGCAGCACGCTCACCAGTTCACCGGCACCGGCGTACATTGGTGCAATACGAATTTTGACGAAAGCACCGGCGGCCAACAGGATGGCAACCACGTTGTATATAGCGGACCAGACGAAGTTGAAGACGATGCGGTGGAACGCAGCCTTACTGACGTCGAGCACGAAGGGAATGCCGCGCAGGCTGGATAGCAAGACGACATCGGCGGCACCCCGTGTGACGTCGCTAGAGGACAGTGAATCGTTGAGCTGCACTCCAACATTGGCCTGTGCAACTGCAACGGCATCGTTAGTGCCATCACCGACGAACATGACTTCTTTGGAAGCAGCCATTAGGTTGGCGACGTAAATTTGCTTTTCCTCAGGTTTACAGAGAGAGGCAACGGAGGTGAGTGAGATACCCACAGCCGAAGCTACTGTGTGTACAGCTTTGGTCTGGTCGCCAGAGACTAGATGGGGAGTGATGCCGCGGGATTTCAGGGTTGAGATGACATCGACTGCTTCAGGGCGAAGGCGAGAACCCAGACCAAAGACGGCTAATGGCTCCGAATCGCAGGTGATGAGGAGGATGGTGGCACCCTTATCAAGCAGCTTGAGGACTGTTGGGTCAGTCTCGTGATGGGTCCATCGAGGGTTGCCGGCGCGATATGTTTTGCCATTGAGAACACCCTCGACACCAGCACCTGGGACGCTGCGTGATTCGTCCATGGTGGAGGGTTGGGCTTTATACTCAGCGAGGTGCTTCGCGACTGCGAGCGAAACCGGGTGCTTGTTATCGGAAACAAGCGCCTTCATTACTGGTAGAATTTCTGCCCTTTTGCCAGAACCGATATACTCTTCGGCAGTGACGTCTAGTTCAGGCTCCGTCAATGTTCCTGTCTTGTCAAAGACTACGTCAGTGACCCTGCGAGCCCGCTCAGTCGCGTCGGCGGATTTGATGATGACGCCTCCACGGGCGGCAATCCCACCCGCGACAACTAAGACCATAGGAACAGCCAAACCAAGGGCGCAGGGGCAGGAAACAGCCAGTACAGCCACCGCGTATGTGATCGCGACGGCGATGGACTGGGCGGCAGTCTGGTCGCGTAATTTGAGGCCCACAATGACCCATATAATGAAGACAACGGCCGAAATACCTGACACGACAGGCAGGAACCAGCTGGCCACCTTGTCGGCGTAATTCTGGATTCTCGGTTTCGAGTTCGCAGCTTGCTCAACCAGCTGAGCAATGTCTGTTACCGTGTTCTTCCCGGGTAAACGAGTCAGCTTGACCAGTAAAGTGCCAGATCCATTGACAGTCCCAGCAATAACATTGGATCCTGGTTCCTTGACAACAGGTAAACTCTCACCAGTGAGCATAGATTCATCCATCTCGCTCACACCCTCAAGCACCTGGCCATCAGTGGGAACCTTTGTGTGAGGTAGAACCTTGAAGATATCTCCGTACTGGAGAAGCCTGGCATCAATATCGTGATCTCCATCTTTCACAAGTAGTGCAGTAGCGGCTTGCAGGGATCGTAGTGAGACTGCCGCAACAGCTCGAATGCGAGCATAGCTGGCCAACAGGCGACCGAGCATGACCAAAGTGATAAGTAACGTGCTCGTCTCGAAGAACTCAGCAGTCTCGAGTGGTTTTCCTGCCATGTGGAAGGAAAAGGCTATGACTGAGTATATGTAAGCAGCCGAGATGCTCACAACGACTAACATGTCGAGTTCCAAGGTTCGGTATAGGAACAGAGCCCGGAGTGCAGGATGGTAGAATACCGGCACCGCAAGCAACTGAACCAGTGTTCCAAGTGGGAAAGAGACGATAGAACGGGTCTTCTGAGAAACGAGGGTCTCGCCCCAGGCGAGGACCACAACGGGGATTGTGAATACGGCGGCGAGGATGGTTTTGATCAAAAGATCATAGAATTTCTTCCGGTTTGCTGCCAAGGCACCATCCCTCTCCACGGGTGCCAGGCCCTGCGAGAGATCACCAATCTTGTACACAAGGTCTCTAGACCCAATAACGATCGGATCATAGACCACACGAATTTTGGCTCTCCCAACAGGGTCCACATTGATAACGCCCGGGATGTTCAGAAGGTTGATTGCATCGATGCTCGCCCGTGAAGCCAGAAGTTCAAGTGATTCGTCGCTGCCGACAATCTGAGATATTTGGAAGCCGGTTGCCTTTGCAACGCTGTGAATCATTTCGTCTATGGTGAGAGTGGCTTTGTCAAGATTGAGGTCCGCTTGACTTCCAATAAAGTTGACGCGCACATTGGAGATGCCAGGCAGGCTTTTCAAGGTGCGTTCGAGCTTGGAAGCACAGTCATTGCAAGTCATGCCGTTGACGGAAAGAGACACAAACTCTGCGCCCGCAACCCTCTCAACATCGTAGTCTTTGGGCAAGACGACTTTGCTGAAAACAGCAGGCGCCTTGTCCTTACCGGTGGCACAACAATCATCATCTCCACTCGGATTCGACGCACGGCAGTTGCTGGATTTCGGAATGGAAGACCCGCAGGTGGATTTGGTACTATCGGCGGCTTTAGGAGACCCACTGCAGCACGTGTCGGCCTCTGTTGAGCATTGACCGGGGGCTTGGGCTTTGGTCGAGCAACAAGAATCTTTGACGGACAGGTCGACCTTTGCGGAGCATTGGCCGGGGGCTTGGGCTTTGGTCGAGCAGCAGGATTCTTTGGCGGACGCGTGACCCTGGAAGGCACCACCTGTCTTCTTTGTCTTCTTTGTCCTCATCAATTTCTTTTTCTCGTTGCAGCAGCTAGGGAGCCCCCGACTGAGCACATCGCGACAAATGCAACGTGTCGATTCGAGCAGAGCTTGGTATTTTGCGAAAGCTTCATTGAGATGGGTGGTGCAGGTGGAAGCTTCGTCGCCAGCTTACTAACGGTTAGTAGAGGTCTTGCAGTTGGGGAGCTGGATGCGTACTTTCGCCTTCCGAGGCACCGCAGATCTCATGGCAACGTCCAGCCGCAATTGTGGTGATACAATCCTCTATTGCATCAAGTTATTTCATGAAATCGGTAGGGGACGGAAGGTGCAAAAGCAATAGGTTCTCGTACTGTCGCAGTTTTCCTTCTCAACGGTGCAGCAAGGGCCATTCGGGTCATCACTGAAGCTGCTGAGGGACTCGGACGAAACATTGGGACGATTGGTAGACTGAAGCGCAACCCGCTGGGGGCCCTGGGCCGTACCGGAACCTGAGCAGCACCCTGGACTCATCGTTCTGAATGTCAGTCGAGCTTCGATGTTTTCTTCGTGTTGATGGTTGAGTTTGAAAGAGGGGAGGAATTGAGACAGAAGAATACGGCACCTTGACATTTGGTCATAAAAAACCCTGAAACATTTGCCTGACTCGCAGCCAATGCAAACCAATTCTTGGCGCGGACAGATTAGCTCATCGCTTCGCCACGCTGCTGACGACAATTTTGGTCTTGGCAACTTGACCGCCTGTGCAGTCGAAGGAACTCGGCGAAGTGAAAGAGCAGCTAACCGACCGACACGAGCAAATAAGTAGCAGAGGTGAGGGCTGAGGTTGGCGCACTCTCGGGGCTTAATTTGCCACCCGCGACCTGGTGCTCATCTCGAACTTACGCATCAGTCCTCGCTAACTGGCTGAATCCCTTGTTGTGCGCAAGCCAAGTCTCATAGCGAACCACCAGCACTATCAGCAAGACTCGAACTACAGTCCCCGGCATCCCCTCTTGATATGCGACGGATGAAGGAGAAATCCCAGAACGATCGTGAACAAGCAACCGACATTGAGAAACGGGTTGAAGGAAGTCATATATACGCGAACGGGGTAAGTGCAGTAATAAAGACTATCTGGCTGTCCAAGGCAAACAAGAGCGTGGGGCCAATAGCAGTATCCCTGTAGACAAGCAGGTGAAGCGCGACGCCTCCTGGATAACCGCTTGGTCAGAGTCAGCGGTCAAATCGCGTTTGCGGCGCTTTATCCCTAAGTCTTTGTTAGTGTTGTCCTGTAATAGTAGTGGGTTGAGGTAGTTAATATTTCGTCCAGGAGGTTATAATGAACACAAACAGTGGCCTTCTCAGCGCCCACGACAAGATTAGCGTGGGAACATTGTTAAAGCCGGGTTACAATGGTAGTCTGCGCGAGCAGGTAAGGGGTAGCGCGAACGGACGATGACCTCAAAGGCACCTAAAGCCTCGAGGATGTGGAGGTGAAGGGTTTTGCTTTGACAACAGATCATCAGGAAGTATATTAGGGGAGCTCGATCCTTTTTTTAAGTACATGAACACAAACGGTGATTGTCCTTTAATTGTGCTTGTCCTTTACAGTCTGCTCCTGCCATGCTCAGGCAACTTTGATCGGGCACAAACAAGCTTGGCTTGCAGCAAGGCGTGCAACGGAAGGTAAGATGCAATGCCGATTCCCAGTAGACCTACAGAAGCCCAAAGCCTTTTTCTGTTTCTGGCGGTACATATCGCTTTGGTACACCGATTTCCAGGAGGAGGCTGACGTTGGCAGCGACGCTTTGAGCACCAATGACCAAGATGCGCCAGGCTTATGATAATTCAGTGATAACCGGATGAAGATCACTTGAAACTTCAGTGAGCAACAATACTCTTAGAATTTCTTGGAACATACCTAGTATGAGGAACTGGCTCAACAGGAGTCCAGCAATAGGATTATCGGTGGGCAGTGGCTTTTTGATGGTGGACGGAAGCGTCCGCCATATAAAGACATGCATGCTTGCGCTTACAAGGAATGCGAATTCGAGGGCAATAATCTTGGCGAATGCATTGTGAGCCATTTCTTAGATGGTGGAATGAGTAAGGCGTAAAACACTGAGAATACCTGAATATTGGAGTCAGCTGTTTTATTATCTGTAAATGAGAGACTCTCGGCGCTTACGAAGCTGAAACGGCTGGAACTGGTGGAATATCTAAAAGATGTTTGAGGCCCCTTGGCAATGTTGATCGCCTCCAATGACTCTTCAAGGATTAACGCAGACCAAGTTTCATCTCTTGAGCAGGCCGACGCGTTTCCATGGCGCTTGACCTCTTGCACAATCAAATCATACGCACGCAGGAGGCGGCACGGTGAACCTGATGCGCTTTGTGTATCGAATCGACATCTTTGGTAGAACCTAGCTCCTTTTCTTTGTCTGCAAGTATTGGTGTTTGCCACTTTTGCTTGCGGTCTTCCACATCAGCATTCGTTATACTCTACAAGTACATCTTCCGGATCAACATTCCTTCCCTCAAAGAAGCGCGATATTCATTGTAAAAAGATGGAGGGAGGTAACAAGGTTCTATGGGTTTTTACTGGCTTCGAGGCCCTCTATTTGGGCTCCGCAGTCACTCACCTCGTCGTTCCTCTTACCACACGTGCCTCACTGAGACGAGAAGCCACCATCGGAAATGTGGCTCCTGATTTACTGCTCGAACACTGCCCCTTAACAGGTACGGTTATTGGAGGGCACATCTATTGAAATATTAACAGAGTCTTTAGCATCCCTGACCAACTCAATCATCATGTTCGGCATCTTCCTCGTGTCACTCCCGGCGATATTCATCAAGACTAGCCGCACTTGGCTTATTGTACACGCGTGGGGTGTCGTTGTGACTACCTTCATTACCCTGGGCATCGGTCTCCGCATTTGGTTCGACACCCTGGAGACGCACAAGAATCTCGAACCGGTCTGGAACAAGCAGGAGGAATTTGTACAATCCCTGCTGCAAGTCCGCTTCTCTTGCTGCGGTTACAATAACCCAAGTCTGTTTATTCGGGGCCAAACTTGCCCAACAGCTACAATTGCTGCACAGCTTGGGCCGTGTACGATACCTTTCAGCAGCTTTGCGAACCACTTCTTAGATGTGGTTTTCACTGCATCATTTGGCTTTTGTGCCATTAATATGCTGCTGCTGCTCGCCACCATGTGCCTAATTAAGGACCGTAAAGACAGAAAGCGCTTCAGAAAGATCGAAATGAAGCTAGGTGCTATGCAGGTCTTATAAAGTGGTCGAGACCTCAAAGTGATCTGTTCTATGATTGCGAGAGTTATAGGCTAATATGGGGTGTACTGACTCTTATCTACCGCATATCGTCATATAGCAAGAGCATTTCAAATTGTACATTGGAAGTGAGCGAAGAGTGTCCATCAGTATTTACTGCCTATCGCTTGAGCTACATCCGAAGAATTGCACATGTTATACGCTGGCCAGAAAACTCATCACCCTCCTTAGCTCCTACCTATACTTACCGCGCAATCACCATCAGTCTTGAACGGTTCACCGCTATAGAAAAAGTCCAATCCTGATAATCCATCTTAAAGAATGATGGACGATTTCTTCCACTTAACGACTTCTCAACGATTGCCCGTATCGTGTAGTCCTCATTTTGTGACAGTGCCAAAACCTGATATTAAAGAGAAACTCAAAGTGGCATCGTTCGTCTCGTTATGCACTGTCATCAGTGCCAAACCTCTGAGGGATCGAGAAGTTAAAAGAAGACTTGAGGCTAATCCGATTGCTTGAAACGGGCATCCCGTAGTCACCAGTCAGGTGTTGGAGGCTATGAGTTTTCCTTTTTTGGTGTGAGGATTTCTCAGTAGTAAACCAAGTTTATATACATTGTGAAGTAGTCAACATCTCCAGCTGGTTGCACTTTAACTGACCCTATACGATGTGAACCCTGAGGATCCATATCTTCAACACTTGTGCGATGACTGCGATGCAGTCGAACACATCCGTCTCTACTACTAGTTGATCGTGATATTCACGCGACAGGAGAAGGCAAATGTTATCGGAACATCGATAGCAGAGCAGAATCGAGCCAAAAGCCCCTTGGGCAGGAGATTGGACAGGTCTCCCAGCCTGGGGAGCTGCAGGAGGCAGCCGCCCGGTCGGATGAGTATTGCAAGCACAACAACGCGAAATGACTTGTGGAACAATGACAATCTGAACCATTCTCTCGTCGACTCTAGCTCAGCTTGATTACTAGTTAATCAATATGTACAGCACTTAAATGATCGACGTGTAGTTTCCTAGTAATTCCTCCCTTTTCTGATAGTCTCTTCATAGTTCTTGCACCCATGTGCGAACCTGAGATTTTCGATTGATGTTGGCATCAGCGTATTTGTCGAGTCCCAAAATTCCATTTGTTATTCGTCATTCGTCATCCCTTTCGATTCATATTGAAATCCACGGGTTTCTTTGCAGCTCTCCCAGCCATTCATTGGATTATGCCTTGCCCAAGCCCACGAGGACGAGTAGCGCCACGTTCATGACCACCAGCACTAACCAAATCAACACCGACAATATAGTAACGATCCATCCGTTCCGCATGTTGACGTTTTCGCCATGGCTTCCCTGTCCTCCATCCTCATTAGCGCGAACGGTCATGATGTGGCTTCGGCAGGTGAACCAGAGCAACGGGGCAGTAACGAATGGCAAAATCACGCTGAGGACAACTTGGGTCGCTGTTAATGCCTGGTTGAGTCCACTTTTTCCAATAGATCCGGCGATGATGATGCTGGGCACGATGCTGATTCCACGCGTGATCAGACGGCGTAACCAGGGTTTCACAGTCCAGCGAAGCATTCCTTCAGATACCATTTGACCGGCCATGGTACAGACGATTCCAGCAGAGGTTCCGGAGAGAAGTAGAGCAAGTGCAAATAACACACCCGCGACTTTTGAAAGGGTTTCCGTGAGGAGGTCGTGAATGCCAAAGAGGTCTGCTTCAGTGGCTTCGGTCTTTGGGTAGAGGGATGATCCAGCAACAATAAGGATCGCGCTGTTGACGAATAGCGCAAAGGTGAAGAGGGAGACCGCTAGTTCGATTATGGAGTATTTAAGGCATGATCGTATTGCCTGGATGGAGGGACGGTATTTCTCCTCCAGATCTTGAGTCTGAATGAAAGTTGATGTTGCCGCTCGACCAATGGTATTGTGGTAACCGTTCTGAATGTCGAACTGACGGAGGCGCGGTTGCACAACGCCAGAACCGAGAAATATCGAGTGCGGCATTACAGTTGCGCCAAGAATTCCACAGGAGAGATAGATACCGTTCCCTTCCACAACGGCCGACGAGGGAACATAGCCTCTGAAGACTTGGCCGACACTTGTGTCACGGATATAGGAGAGTTGGATGCAGAAACAGATCACCACGCCGAGGACGAGGGTCATGACGAAGCATTCGAAGAGACGAAGGCGGGTCATAGACCCATCTGGGTTGTAGAACATGAGGAGGACCAGGACGTCCACGAGGCTTATGGCACACCCGGCGACCAGGGGTACGTTCAACAGCAGGTTCAGAGCGATAGCCGAGCCAATGACCTATCGGAATTAGAAGAGATTGTCCGTGGACTGGGGAGTTGGCTGCTAACCTCGGCTATATCAGTGGCAATAATTGCCGACTCAGCAAAAACGTATAAAACGTAGTTCAACCATCTTGGAAGATGCCTTCGACAATTCTCGGCAAGGTTTAAGCCAGTGACACTGCCGAGCTTGATGCAAACTGATTGTAGGAAGATGGCAAACAGATTTGACATGAGGATGATGAAGAGATGACGGTACCGAGTGACAGCACCGGCCTCGACGTCGGTTGCATAATTTCCAGGATCGATGTATGCCACTGCGATTAGGAAGCCTGGACCGACAAATTTAGAGTAGTGGACCAAGACTTGTCGAATTTTTAACAGGATGGAAGTAGAGCCTTGATTTGGGGTTGGTTCCTGCATGGGTCGATTGACAGGCGACGCATTTGTACTCCCAAACCGGCTTTGGTTGAGGGCGACATGGACGGCGGTCTCATTTTTGGATGGGCCTTCGGAAGCATTATTCCAGCTCATCCACGCTCGATCTTCTTCTTGGGTGTCAAGATTTGAGTCGTGGCCTCTTTGTGCTCTGAGATTGACGAGGCCATTGAGGTCGGCCCGTGTGGTCAGGTCTGAGCTCAATACGTGCGGATTCTGATTCCAGTCAGGGTGACCTTCAATTTCGTCGGGTCTAGAAGGACAATTCATAATTCCGACCTTTCGACGAGGGAAGTGGTGAGGTACCAAAATGATTTTGGAACGATGGCCGTTAGAAATTCAATCCATGACACGACGATTTCTGGGAAAGCGGGTGAGGATCGTACTGCTTAAACGTGTCTGGAAGGGAAGAAATGTGGGGAGAATTGATGATGCGGCTTATCCCGATACTAATGCGGGGACAAGGCAGCGGTGCCAACGAATGGCCACCGCTCTTGATCAAGCGGTTTTCGGTCGGATTGGCTAAGCCCTAATCCAACATTCCGGAGACTCCCGAAAATTCAGGAGGAGTCAGAGAGAATGAGGACTGAGCATATTGTACGAAACCTCGCTAGTTTTTCTCCCAGTAGCTAAGATTCATCAGAAAGCAGCACGTCACTCTTTTGAGCGGTGGTAATGGAACTCGTCCTAGGGCAGCAGGATTGACCGATTTCAGGCATCGCAATCGGAGTGAATGTGGGACTGTGAATTCTGACTTGAGGAGAAACGAGCGCTAGGGAGATATCGCCGGGGTGCCAAGATACAATCCTTGGCAAGTTTTCTGCGTCATATCAGACGGGATTCGACTTTGCTGACCGCTAGTTATTTGGCAGACGATCTACGGCCGAACGTGGAAGGTGGTTGGTTGGCAGTGAGCTTGACGCGTATGTCATGTTGAGAAATTCAGACTATGACAATGAATGACGACTGATGACTCATTAGTCACTACTGAAGCCGCTTAGCCATATATAGAATGGCACGCCTTCGCTTAATTTAAAGTTGCACTCCTCCAAAGGGTTGCAATATGTACAATCGTGCCAAACCGATATTGCAAGTCCCTGTACTCTTGCGAAATGAAACAGCTTAACTTACTGTACAGTATCTGACCGTTCTCGTCACATATTGATGTCCAGCATGAAACAACGGGGTGGGTGGTGGGGGGTGTCATTCGTGGATGCGCCAACACCAAGACGAGCGGCTTGGAAGGGCCCTATTTTGGGCTCTGGTCTAAATTAAGCTCGAACGTGTTGAGAAATCGAGGTCAAAATGTGTTCAAATGACACAGGGACTGCATCAATCACTCAGGGATGCACTTTAGACGGTTTCTTGATCCAGTTTATGTTTGCAGTTAAGTTGCTGGGCTGACTGACCGTGCCGTCCAGGTACGAGACTTTCCCATATCGATTTGTGTATGACGCTTTTGACCTACCTCTGGATCTTCTCTAGACTGTGCTATTTGTCTGTTTTTCTTTTTTCTTTCGGCTTCCTGTCGTGCTGCCTCTTGTCGTGCTGCCTCTTGTCGTGCTGCCTCTTGTCGTGCTGCCTCTTGTCGTGC